TGCACAGAGTACTGCAAGGATGAAGAAATACCTTCTACCAATGCACGTTGACACCTTCTCTACAACTTGTATTCTAAGAGTTGCCCACGACACTGAAAGGATAAGGAGAACTTGAACCCAGGTCTTTAACTCAAGTCATTGGTAATAATAGTAAACAGAAAAAAAAAAAGCAAGCACACAACTCTGGGACATTCTAGTAGAGAAATTCTCCCAAGTAGATACTGAACTATTAATGATTACTCTTTTGGTTTAGTCTTTCAACTGATTCTGAATCTAGATAATGGTACTCATCTTCTCATTTTCCCCATAAAAATGGCACAAAAAATGCTGTCATATGTTTTGCCAAAATCTATGTAAACTACATTCATACCACCTCCTTAATTTACCAGGCTATAAACCTTGACAAAAAAAGAAAACAAAATTAATCTTGCATGGCCCATTTTTGATGAAGCCACGCTGGCTCTTTGTGATGACAACTTCCTTTTTTAGATACTTTTAATTCTATAATTTTTCCAAGAGTCAAAGTTGAACTCAATTGCCAACAGTTTATAGACTCTATTTGCCTCCTCTTTTGAAAAATAATACATTTCTCTTTCTCCAGTCCTATAATATCTTTCCATTCTTCAGGATCTTTTAAAGATCACTGACTGTACTTTAGCAATGAGGTTTTTCAGATCTTTTAGTATCCTGTGATATGACAGTTCATCTGAGTCTAGTGACTTGAACTCATCAAGGAAAGATAAGCAAGTACTCACTATACCTTCTTACTTATCCTAGCTATCAACTCACTATTAGCCATTTTTATTCAGTGCTTTCTGGAACAAAAAGTTTTGTATTTGGGAGAATGACAGCTGAGTTTTTACTGATTTTTTACTATACATTAAAGAATATACCCAAACCCTTCAAGCTACCAGTTTCAATCTGAGATTTAATGCTCCTGACATTTTATACCAGTCACTTCCCAATATACCCCCCCACACACAGGCCTTCCATATACTCTTCCTTGTTATTTAAAAAAAAAAAAAGCTAAGCAAAACAACTACATTTGCAACATTCTAAAAGGTATGTGGAAAGATGGGTGGGAGGCAAAGTGTTTCTCCAAGACCATGTTTTGTCTTAACACTATTCTTATAGGACAGTGCCACTGTTGCCAGCTTTTACTTTCATCTTCTATACATAATCTTTAACAAATTAAGTTGATAAATGTGTTTCTTGTATACCCAACATCAGCTCCTTTAGGAAAATCCCCCTTTTCATCCTCAGTGAATTGTTGCTCTTTGTATGTTTAGACTTTTATTCTTGAACACTCCTGATCCTCTCTGGTATCAATTTCTCTACAGAATCTATAATCTGTGGTATCCTACCAAATCTTGTCTCTGAATATCTTGAAATAAGCTCTCCTAAAATCAAGGAGGTATGGACAGACTAGGTCCACATTTCATCTCTATCACAAATATAAGACAGAATGATCATATTACCTTAAGTTTCCCTTTATTTCTGTCAGCAACCATTTCCTCCCTATGGGTGAGAATTACATCCATAAGCAGAAAATCCCTTCAGAGAGGCAATGTGGCATAGAGAAGTAATGTAATACAGCAGAAAGAGCAGTAGCTCTAGCATCAGAAGATATGGGTTCAAATCCTGCCTCTGATGCCTACTACCTAAGTGATCTTAGGCAAGTCACTTAACCTCCTTAGGCCTTTTGCTTATCTATAAAAAAAAAAAAGGGAGATTAGAGTAGATGGCCATTGGCAGTTCCTTTCAGTTCTAAAGCTTTAATACTACAATTCTACTACCTCTTGAAAAATAAAATTATCATCAAGGCAAACAAAAAAAATCATCAATAATTTTACTTCTGGCAAGGAGAGAGCTCCAAGAAATGTCCATATAATGCTATTCCTACTACTACATCATGACTGTGCCAGATCTGTTGCCATTTTCTTGAAGTCCTCATTTCTTTTTTCTTTCTATCCAGGTAGTCTGTCACATTTTTCAATGACAGTAATACTCCTGTTTCAGCTTCCATTGATCTTCACCCAATGTTTTCCATTATGCATACCTGGCTTTGGTTGACTTCCTCACAAGGGTATGCTTTCTAAGTACACAACACTACTCATTGTAGCGCCACGTACAGCTACTACCCTGTTTCTTCTGAGTAGGATATACCCCTCCAGAGCTATATTCTAGTCATGGCACCCATCCCACCAAGTCTCCATGACATCTATGAGTTCAAATCTATCTAACTGTACTAGAATATCTAGATCACTTCTTGTTATTCATACTTTGTAAATCTGTGGAAAGACCTTTGAGGTCATGGGTTTTATTACTGGCTTCTTTACTGGATTTTGTGTCCTGTGAACTTCTAGGTGACTCCACTGTTATTCCAGTGGTATAGTATGGTATCTAGCTTGACAGTTACACATAAACAGTTTTCACCTCTCCCTTGTCTTTACTAGCATTTGTTAGGTATGCTCCATCCTTAGCCAAGAGCCTTAATTTCTCTCAATTACTACAAAATTCTCTCAGATGACTTCTATGGACTCCATTATCTTTTTCTCTTTCTTTTACTCAGATATATTCTTCATACTGCCACCTAACTAATCTATTTGAAATGATACTTTATAATGTTACTTTTGGATTAAAAATCTACAATGGTCCCCTACTGATTCCCACACCAAGCCCAAATTATCCTACCTGAATTTAAGGTCACTCACAATTTGGCCTCAGCCTATCAATACAAATTTATATTCCAATTAACATACTGGATATGAACCTACTATTCTAATGAGTTTTAGTATAATATCATGCTTACAGATTTTTCCTCCTACTTAGAATGCCTTCTAATCCCATCTGCCTACCCACATCTTAAGCATTCTTTAACTATCACCACCTTCGATAGGCTTTTCTTCACTTTTCTCTAGCTATGCCATTTGCTAATCTGAAGTAGGTTAAACTCCTAAATGTTAGTTATATCTTCCCAAGACTCTAGCTGAAAATATAGTCAGAAGGTGGATGGAGGTGCCAGTCTGGGTCCAGCAAGCTGAAAGGTCAAACTTACTTTAGAGCAAGGGTACTTAAGTTGGGGTCTGTGAACTGAAAAAAAACGTGATAACTTGTATTTCAATATAATTGTTTTCCTATGTAATACTATGTATTTTATACATTTAAAAATATTATTCTGAGGTGTCCATAGGCTTCACCAGTTTGACAAGAGGATCCATGGCACAAAAAAGTTTAAGAACCTCTGCTTTACAGGTAGGTAACTGTTATCTTAAAGAATTCCCTTTATCTAGCCAATCATCCCTTTTCTATCAACATTTCCCACCAGGCTGTTGTTCTAGACTTCATCATGGTCTCCAGAAAGTTGTCATCCTTCAAGATAACACCAACTCTGAAAATCACACCTGGTGAGTACCTCCACCCTTGGAGTCCCCCCTCCATGCCTCTGATTGGACAGCGTAGACATTGGAGAGCTCCCCTATCTGGGGTTTTCTTGGCAAAGATATTGGAGTGGTTTGCCACTTCCTTCTTCCTTTTACAGATGAGGAAACTGAGATGAGCAAAGATAGGAGTCTTCCTGACTTCAGGCCCAGCTGCACCACCCAGCCTCTTACTTGGTCAGCTCTCCCCATCCCACATGCCAGATCTCTTATGTAGCAATACTAGCCTACCTGCTGTTCTGAACACACAGCATTTCATCTCCCATCTTTATTCCTTTGCATTAACTGTCCCTCATGCCAGGGCATTTCCTCTTGGAATCCCTGATTTCTTTCCAGGCTCAGCTTAATACACATCATACATCATGTATATATATAATATATAATACATATCTCACACAGCATGTATACATAATACACATACAACACGGGGGGGGGGGTGGCCTAAGTGGCAGTGGATAGAGAGGACCTCAGCTTAGATCCAGTCTCAGACACTCACTAGCCGTGTGACCCTTAACTTAACCCTATTTGCCTCAGTTTCCTCATCTGTAAAATGAGCTGGAGAAGGAAATGGCAAACCACTGCAGCACCTCTGGCAAGAAAACCCCAAATGGAGTCATAGAGTTAGACCCGACAGATCAACAACCACCACACAGTGTGTATTTAAATAGAATACATATTACATGCAGTGCATATATAATACAGAATACATACTACAGTGTGTAATATAGCATGCATATCGCACAGTGTGATACAATACATATCAGCATGTATATATAATATACATACCATACAGTGTGTATAAAATACCGAATACGTATCACACACAGCGTTATATCACACAAACATACGCAGAGTTCCAAAGCACTGCTTAAAAACTAAACTAAGACTTTTGGGGGGAGGGTGCGCGTGGGCGCGTGTGTAGACACAAAACGGAGGGGACGGCCGACTCCGAGAGGCCGCCGCGGACGCCGGCCGGGGTCCTCGACGTCCCGCGCTAGGCTCTTTGCAGGACAAGCCCCGCCCCCGCGTTCTCCGCCACGCGCCGGCCCCCCGGGCTCCGGGCCTAACCCCGAGCCTCGCATCCTGCGGCCTCGGAGCGGGCCTTGCCCGTGGGCCTCGAGGGCACAACCGCCCCGTCCCCACTCACTCGAGCCTCTTTCCGGTAGCGAGGAGGTCGCGACCACGACGCGCGCAGATACCGCTGGGTGGCGTCGGTTTCCCTGCTCTCCTCAGCCATCCCGATTGGCCGGCCAGTCCGCCGAAGCGACCACTCCTCCCCACCGCGTCCCTCCCTCCCGGCTTCATCCTTGGTAGTTGGTTGGAGGGGGACTGGTAGGAGAGCTGAGAAGGCTGAAGAAAGTCGCGCGTGCGCGCTAAGTAGGAAAAAAGGGGAAAGGGGAAGGTGGATCACCGCGGCGGTTGTGCGCAGGCGCGCTGTGTGGGGGCGGGGCAAGCAAGGGGGCGGGGCGGAAAGGAACGGAGATGTGGGGAGGGGTGGGGAAAGCATAGGTAGTCAGGGGAAGGGTCTGGGCGGGAGGGGGCGGGCCGGGGTGTGGTTAGAGAGCTCCTGAAGAGCCACCTCCGAGGTCCCGGAGCTGGCTGGGAGCAAACCGAAATTGAAAGTCGTAGCCGTGGTGGCGACTGACCGAGGCGGCGCTGACCACCGGCGCGGGGAAGTGTCCCCAGCGCACGGAGCCAGGTAAGCACCCGCCCCTGCCCCCGCCGGCAAGTGGCCATCCCACCCCCACCCCCATCTCCAGGGATACCGGCGAGCCGGGAGCCGCCCCGTGGGCTCCCCGGCTCGGGGTCTCGGCCGCTCGGTCCCTGGGCTGGGGATGCCCCCGGACCTGACTCCTCCTGGGGCTGGGGGTGATTCCCCGCCCTCTCCAGACCCCCCCTGCAGTCCCGGGGCTGCCGTTCCTGGAGGGGGGGTACGGCCAGGCCCGGCTGGGACTCCCATTCAAGCAGCTGTCTACCTGGGGGGCCGGACGTGCCCCTCTCTCCGCGGTGCCCGCATCTCCCCCGCGCCTTGCTTGGCCTGCGGAGGGCGGTTCCCACGCACAGTTAAATTGCCCCTGGCGCCCCCCTCCCCAGCCTCGGGGCTCCAGGCTGCGAAATTGTCTTTGGGTGTAAACTGTCAGCGGGCTGGGACCGGGGTGGGGGCGGGGGGAGGGGTTATGGCCTTGAGTCTGAAGGGGGGGCGGGGGGAGTTGTGTCTCGAGTCTGAATTTGGGGGAGTTGTTGCCCTTGAATCTGATTAGGGAGGTGGAGAGTATTAACCCCCTTCGGGTCTGAATTGGGGAAAGCAGTTGCCCCCTGGCATCGTCTCTACTTAAGAGAGGAAATATATCGAATCGAAATACTGTGCAGATTTCATAATGTAGCGGCTGAAAAGGCTTACGTTCTGTTAAGTAGCCTCTTTGAGACAATGGTTTTAAACTTAAGGTTCAGGTGAGGGAGTGGCGGGTAACAGACGTAATAATTAAGACCTCTAAGTCTTACAGTAAGGGACCTTTAGCATTAACCCTCCCCTAATGCGTATAAAAATGGGAGCCGAGCCTGGCACAGAAGTAAGCGCTTGATGTATTTATCGCTTGTTGACCGAGCCAAGGCACATGAAGTGACTTTCCTCGAAATCACGTTAGTAGTAAGCAGAGGGAGGATGAACCAGTTACAAGTGAACTGATTTGTATTCCGCATTCGACCTATTAATTTTTGTGTTGGGGTTTGTTGGCACGCGTTGAATTTAGCTGTTTGGATTGTTGGGTCCCTTATTGTAAGTTTTCAATCTCTCGAGGCCAAAAAGTTTTTAAAGTTCTCCATGCAATGTAACCTAGTACTTCTTGGGTATTTAGCGAATGTATATTGAACTAGATGCAAAGAAAGTGAATTGATTTTTATTCCCTCTTGTATGGCCTCTGCACTTCTTAGACTCCACTAATTACTGTATTGTGTTAGGATTTGTTGGTAGGACTAGAATTTGGCTGTAGGGATTGTGTTGGGTTTTTCTTCCTACGATTTAAGTCTCTTGAGACCTGAGACTAAAATTTTTAAGTTCTCTATGCCATATGAATTAGTATATCTTGTGTACTTAGTGAATGTGAGGCCAAAACCAAAAACACTCACAAACTGCTTTAAACAGTGACTTTGTATTTGAAGTGCCTCTGTTGATAAATCTTTAGGCAGAAGATCCTACTGTCACAACAATTTGACTTTTTTCATAGAGTTTTAGAGCTGGAAGAGTACTAAGAGATCCTTTAGTTCCTCATTTTATTGATGAGGAAACAAGGTTCCAACACAGGGGCTTGACAAAGGGTTAGAGGCAGTCAGGCTTTCAGAGTCTCAGTGCTCTTTCCACTAAACTGTGGCATTTCCAATATCTTGGCAATAAACAAATTTACAGAAAGAACCTGTTTATTGTACAGTGAATTATGTGTTATAGTGGTCAATCCCCAGGTTGTGACTGCACTTAAAATTTGGAGCTAGAAATGAGAAAAATGAAAGGCCTCAAAGAAAACCACATGAAATATGTCAACACGTTTTAGTGTTTTAGTTACTGTTTCTCCCTCTTAAGGAGTTCATTTAATGAGGAAGTTATTTAGGTTCTCACAAGGAAAAAATGAGTAGGAGTATACTAAAGCAGGGGAAGAAACTATCAGTTGCTAGTGAAATGTATTCCAGTGGCAGGTATTACCATAACTACATCTCAAATAGGAACTAAAAGTGCTAAAACTAGAACTTTAGTTATTTAACTAAAGGCAGAATAACTGGGACTTCATAGGTCAAGGAGATTTTACAAGTTATCTATTCCAACCCCCTTCACATCCCTCACCTTAAATATCAGGAAAATGAGGCCCAGAGAAGTAGTGGTTTGGGGACACAAGTGGTAAGTGGCAAAAGCTAATGGGATTTGAACCCAAGTCTTCTGATTCCAAATCCGCCCTCCCTTTCTTAACACCATGCTGCTTCCCAACACATAAGTTTTGCTTAAGAATATTAAGAATCAGTTGGCAGATACATAGAATGTTAGATCTGGGAGGGAATTCAGTCTAATTCCTCTCTTTTTATATATGAGGAAACTGAAACCCAAAGAGATTATTAATTGCCCAAAGTTAAGTAACAGAGCTGAATTGCTAATTCAAGTCTTATGACTCTACAGTACAGCACATTTGCCCTGATACCACACTTTCTCCCTTTGTTTTAATGACATTCAAAATTGAATTTTGTAAAGTGAAAAAATATTAATATGGGGAAATAGACCAAAGATTGGAAATGGAAGGGCCCTTAGAGGCCAATCTAATCTGTCTTAACTTTTCATTTTACAGATGAGGACACTGAGGCTCAAAACAGTTAAGTAATTTGCCCAGGGTCACACAACTAGCAAATAAATATTAGAGGCAGGGTATAAAACCAGAACTTTGTGATTCTAGGTCCAGCCCTCTATCCATTGCTAATAAGGAGCTGCTTGAGCCAAATGAGTAGTCAGTAGTAGAATATAGTAACCAATGTGAGGCTACAAGTGTACCAGGAGGCATAGGCTAGTCCCAGATTGACTTGGCAGTATTCCAACTGAAGTCACAGGCAGTGAGATATAAATGACTTTGTTATGGGGAGGAAGTTAGGGTTTTTAGGTTAAAAAAAATATTTTTCTTTTCATCTCTTTTCACCTTATAATACTTAGTCCTTAAGACAGTATCTAAAATTTCAGAATACCCAGCAAAACAGCTGGAGAGCTACTTGAGAGCTCAAATGCCAGGGATTTCAAATAATAGAGTAGTCTCAGACTTTGTATTCAGGTGTATGAAGCTTGCCAGGCCAGAGTTAAATTATTTCAGAGTCTGGAAGACTATTTGGACTTTTATGCCCAAGTCAAACTATTGTTGATTTCCATTTTCCTGCTACTTGAATGTCAGGGGTATGGAGCAAGAGGTAGCTTGTTGTAGACCAGCAGCCTTAGCAGCATTAGATGAGATTTCAGTTTCAGGGGGCAGCATTGTAAAGAAGACGGCAGCTATCTGTTATCCCCACTGCTTTACACCCTAGTCCAATTCTCCCAAAATCCAGTAGGGCCAAGTTCCTCTTTCTTGGTTTGTGATGAACAGAATTGCAGTTAAGTGCACTTCTACTTAGGCAGAAAGTAATTTCCCAACACTTTGGTAGGTAGGGAGTTCTGGGACAATTAGTATTTATGGCAAGTGTGATTGATATTTGGGAGTATGCTGGTGAGATAAATGAGCCCACACATCAGAGACACATTCTTGTTTCATAAAATGTAATATTGTGCTTTTACAAGTCGGTAGTAAAAAGTTAATGTTTAGTAGTTTTTGAGCATTAGATGTTAACAATATTTAGAATCCTTTCTCTCTGGGGCATTTTTCAGATTCCTTAACCCACAAGTCCCTGCTTACCCTTGCAAAATAAACTGGAGTGAGTGAGGTGTTAGAGTGAAGCAGAGCAAAGTCACTTGTAGAAGAAGGGGTAACCCTCTGACTATTGAGGGCTACCAACACGTAAGCTTTAAAACCCAGGTAACGCAGCCCTTTAGATTCATTTTTGTTTCTTAGCTGGACATGTGACTGACTGGTTAGCCACCTTATCTGTGACTTATTGGACTTTTTGGCTTTTATTCAGAAAGGGAAGTGAGGAGAGAGAAAAGAATGTAGACAAGTGAGACCATAATGTTAAATATGATTTTATCTCCTAAGGTTTTCAAGCTTCACAGTTGTTAAATTTCCAGTAATTTAAGAGGCTTCAGGTACATAGACCTTTCAGTTCTTTTACCCCCCTTTTCTTGATGTATTGCCCAGAAAACTGATCCACCCCCAACTAACTTTACATTTTGTTTAGCTCATAAAATGCTTGGAGATAGAGAACTGATTAACAAGGTTTTGACAGTCTTTGTGCTTCTATGTCAGTGACTGCAATTACTTTTACCTTACTAGAGAGAGAGAGAGAGAGAGAGAGAGAGAGAGAGAGAGAGAGATTGGCTGAGAGAGAGAGAAGTGAGATAGAATGGTTTAAAAAAAAAACAGTCCTCCAAATATTAATTGAAAAAAGTTTGGAAATCACTGCTTCAGAAATTTACTTGTTTTAGTGGAGTAGAAAGTGCTCTAGATATGGGACAAAGGATCTGGGTTCAAATCCTGCCCAACCATTTACCTGTGTGATCTTGGACAAATTAGTTTCTTTAGGTCTTAGCTTGGACTAGATGGTCCCTAAGGTCCTTTCAGCCATGATCTATGAGCCTAAAAACCTAATTGCCTGTGTATTGCCCATAATGATTTTTCCTAGGTCCGAGTAATAAGATTCAACCTAAAACTTACAAAATACTTCTTTCCTTCCAATAGCCCCTCCTTCCAATAGCCTTTCCTTCCAATAGGCAGGAAATACAAATTGAAACTGCCTTAAAATTGAAACTGCCAATTTATATAGCTCTTTTTGTATTTCTGTTGGCTGGAATCCAGCACTGATCTGGTTTAACAGTGATATAGAAATTCCAGAGAAGGAGGACAGTGTAGCAAAAGATTCCAGTCAGAAAACCTTGGGTTTGAATCTTGGCTTTGAGATGAGCTGTGCCACTGTGGTTAAGCCACTTCAGTTAGCATCTCTGAGCCTCAATTTCCTCATCCGTAAAATGTGGATAATACCAATTCTATCTTCCCCACAAAATTTTTTATTAAATAAAGACTATATAAATTT